GAGTTGGATTGATTAAGCTCATCAGCGTTGTCTGTGTCGGACTGAGGACGTATTTCCGCCTGAGCCGTCTATGGACTCTCGTTAAAAGTTGTACATGCGCAGTAGCTCCTCTTCAATGCAAGAGATAAGACGATTTGGGGGCGCAGGAGAAGTGCGCCCTGAGGGGGCGGGATCGCCCGCGACCTGTACTGTCCATGGATCTATTATAATAACTGGATAGGGTATTACTAGCTTGTAGCTGAATAACTCACGTGCTCAGGGGATTCTCGCGGTACTGCAGACTGAACCAGACTAAATTCACGTGGGCTACCCAGAAATTTTCCCCATAGAACTCAATGCATATTAAAACAGCTCGACCTCAGCTGACAGAGAACCTACAGCTTTAATAAAGATCGGATTTTGTGGGGATTTTAGTGTCCCTTGTCATTCTGAACTTTTTTCTTCTTAAATCCTTCGGTTTTGTTTAAATCCACACTTTAGTGCCACAAACTCTGCTCCTCTGGCTCTCGCTCTAACTCCCGCTCTGATGAACTGCTCTGATTGGTCAGAGCGCGGCCGAGCCCCTCTGTGCACGTGCGTGAGACCCGGTGTGAGACCCACACACGCGTGTTTGGCGCAACGCATTATGGGAGATCATCCACTGCGCAGAACCGGGAGGACCAGACGATGCCCAAATACAGGCGAGTTTCCCATAGATCTTTGCGAGTTTCAGGCAACTTCCGCTAATCTTTCAGCCCCCATGCTGTCACAAAGCGCCACTGAGCACAACCATTCATTTGAATAGGGCGCCATCTTGGATCGCCGGGGCTTGGTACTGTCACTGTCTGTGACGTCCGTTTACAGTGATTGACAGGTCAAGCTGTGGGAGTTTGAGACGAACGTAAAGAGACGCAAAATGGAGAACGAGAAAAAGAATAATTCAGTTAGATCACTCAAAACAATACCGTTTGAGAGGAGATCATACCAGGAGAAGGTTGAGGTTAAAGAGCTTGGACCTGATCAGCCAAATATTACCATTAGTCAGCAGTCCAGGACCTGGTTCAGCGCCAAATCTTGGCTAGCAGCATGTAGCGAGGCTAATGCTTTATTTTGCTTTCCATGCCTCTTGTTTCAAACATCAGGATCTGACCCAGCATGGATCAAGACAGGTATGACTGATCTGAAGCACTTTTTAGAAAAGGCAAAGAAGCATGAGCAGACTGGTATCCACATGCAAAATGCCCTCAAATTAGCTATGTTTGGGAAGATAAATATTTCATCCCAGCTGGATGAAAGCTACAGGGTAGGGATCAGAAAGCATCCCTACCCTGCTGGTATATATCTAGTCATCATATTCATAGCCCCCCCAGTAGAAAATTCCACCAGCCGCCACTGCCAAAGCCCCCACTGAAAGATCAAGGCTATGCTCACACTCAGAGAGCAGCCGTCCTCCTGTGGACTCACCACCTGCAGAGGGTCAGTGAGGGGCTGGTGCTATGAGACTTGGGTGGCATCTCTGACTGCCACCCCCCTGACCCAGAAATGGATTAAAGGGTATAAAATGGATGGATGGATGGATGGATATATATATATATATATATATATATATATATATATGGACAACAGATGGGGAGGACTCTGCTCTGTGCACCCACATCCCTCCTGCCCGTCTGTGCCCCTGCATCAACCCCTGCTCTCTTCCCCAGCACAAAATTACAGTTTTGTCCAGACCCCGCCCCTACAGACCGTCCATACCCAGGAAACCGTCCTTCACCAACCTCATCACTGTTTCCCCCTGCCCTCTCTCATCCTCTGCTCCCCCCACTTCGAACTATGGACTCCCCATCAACAATAACAACCCATCTACCATCAGGTTTGCCCTTTTAAATGTACGCTCCCTTTTAAATAAGACTTTTACTGTTAATGATTTGATTTTAGAACACGAGCTGGATGGTATGTTTTTAACTGAGACCTGGCTGGGTCCGGATGCTCCGGCTGTTCTTACAGAGGCCTCCCCCCCCAATTTTAACTTTGCTTTTAAAACAAGAGAAGGAAAGAGAGGTGGCGGCACAGCCTCAATATGCAGTAACACCCTGGCCACCAAACCTATTGTTTTTAACCAATACTCAAGTTTTGAGTATCACTCTCTTGTTTTTAGCAACCCCAAAATTTTAACAGTAATTACTGTATTTATAGGCCACCTAAAAAGTGCAGCCTTTTTATTATTGAATTCTCAGCGTTTTTATCACAGTTACACAATTCTTACAATATGATCATTTTAACCAGTGATTTTAACATACACATTGACAATCCCTCTGACAATTTTACCCTATATTTCTTAGATGTTCTTAATTACATGGATTTTACCCAACACATCAGACAGCCAACACACAACAGAGGACGCACCCTCGACCTGGTCATTACTTATGGCCTGACTGCGGATGTGTCCTCTGTTGTCGACTTGGCTGTCTCGGACCACTACTGTGTGCTTTTTAACATCAGTGGTTTTATTCAGCGTGAGACCTCTGTGAAAATCGTGAGGAAGCGACATCTAACCCCTGAAGTGGCTGCAAATTTTATTGACATCCTAAACAACACTCCCCACTTGGTTTTACCTGCCCCCTGTGATTTTATAGCAAATGATTTTAACAGTAGACTTAGTTCTGCGTTGGATCAAGTCGCTCCTTTAAAAACAAAAATCATAAAAACAAAATCTGCACCCCCATGGAGAAATGAGGAAGTACGCAAAATTAAGCAAGAGTGCAGGGTGGCAGAACGAAGATGGAGGAAAAATAAAAGATGACTTTTATTCCTCACATCAAGAGTATCACAAAAATAGGTTTTTATCACTTAAAGAACATCGCCAGAGTCCGCCCCATTCTCTCTCGGGCCAACACGGAGACGCTGATGCATGCTTTTGTCCTGACTAAGACCAGGGGGCGTGTCCTGACTAAGACCAGGGGGCGGGACCACATTACACCGGTTTTAAAATCGCTGCATTGGCTCCCCGTGTGTTTCAGGATCGATTTTAAGGTTCTTTTAATGGTTTTTAAATGTCTTAATGGTCTTGGGCCTTCTTATCTTTCAGAACTGCTTTTATCCTATGAACCTTCCCGGCCCCTGCGCTCCTCCGGCAGCAGACTCCTAACCATCCCCAAAGTCAGGACACACACTCACGGCGAGGCATCTTTCCAGCACTACGGCCCCCGTCTCTGGAACAGTCTGCCGGAGGAGCTCAGGGCCGCAGAGAACGTTCATATTTTTAAAAGTAGGCTCAAGACACACTTTTTTAGATTCGCTTTTGATTCGTTTTTATTATTCCATTCTATTTATCTTTTATTATTTATTATTTATTATATTGCTATTGCTATTATTCATGTATTGTGTGTTCCTTTTAGTCTCACATTTTAGTGTTTTACTTATTGTATTGTTTTTAGTGTACCCAGTGTTTCCTCTGGAGGAGCCCTCTGCACTGGGAGCAGTGGTCGGTGTGGCTGCGGGGGTCGGACTCTTGGGCCTGGTGGGGGCCTGGGGCCTCGGTTTTATGTCTCCTCTGGGTCCTGTGTCGTCCCCTGTGGCTACGGGCGGCTCTCTGCTCCTGGTGCAGACGGCTCCTTGGATGACGCTTTTTCAGCTGGTTGCATCTGAACCCTGCCAAGTCTCTCATCATGTTTTTATTGTTTTACTGTTGTGTGTGTGTGTGTGTGTGTGTGTGTGTGTGTGTGTGTGTGCGTGTGAGTGTTCATGAGCGCGTGTGTGTGTTTGTCTGTGGTTTGGGGTGGGTCTGTTGGGTGGTCTGGGGGAGGGGTCTTGGGTCGGCGGGATTGTTTTTAACCAAACTGTAAAGCACTTTGTGTTGCATCTTTTGTATGAAAAGCGCTTTATAAATAAAATGTGATTGATTGATTGATTGATTATATCATCTTGTAAGATTATGTGAGGCTCTGTCTCATTCTGTGAACACAGTAACAGTATAACAGTTAGATAAACTATATCTCAGCTAAAAATCTCCAAAACATGGTGAAATATGTAAAAATGAGATATAACACAACAATGACCAGCTTTTATTAGAATGGCCACACATGAAATAATTAACGTTTTTGTTCACACACATTCTCGGACATGTTTCCTCAGTGCAGTATAAGAAGAATATAGTATATTTCTGTGTAAGAACCACTGTGGTAAGAATTACAGGCATTCTGCAGAAACTAAAGGTACGGAGCGCCAGGAGAGGGCGCTAGTTCCTAGGATTTAACTAAGAATTATTACGTGCATAAAACTCTGAGGTCAATGGAGCGGGGGCTGATCATGGATCTATTATAATATCCTGATGAAGGAGCTGCTTCAGTGAACACAGGCCTTATCAGGAGCATTACTGACACTATGTGTGAGGATTATCCCAGACTCAAATGCATTATGGATCACGGCCGTACTCAAGTGGACCTCAGCAACAATGAACTTCTGCAGTGTATGTTTCATGAAGGAAGACGGAGTAAAGCAGGTGTCTGATGCTCCGTTGCTGTTGAAGCAGATGAAGATGTCTCATAGAAATCAGTGCAGTGGTTGTTGCACAGTAATAGGAGGCAGTAAAGAGTGGGACATGGGGGAGATATTGATCTGGAAATACTCAAACGCACTAATCTGACTTTGCAGCAGGTGTGCGTAACTAGACTGTCTCATCTAAAAGTATTGTTGCTGATTTGTCCACATTTGTGACATCTGACGGAGCTTCGACCCGCGGCCTCTGCTGGGATTAAGCAGTGAAACCTGATGGAAAATAATATGGAGGTAAGTAAAACATGTGTTAGCTTAGCCACCAATGACAGGACTGTGGCAAAAGCATGGGCAAAAGTGATGTTGGAAAATAATATAAAGCCGACGTAGCTGAGTCATTTCCATAGCAACGCTTCTTACGTATCTGACGCAGCCGCCGCCTGACGTCACTCTGACTTTGACCGAGCCAGAGATAGCTGCACTTTGAGCATCGAGCGATTGACAATCAAGTTTCAGAAAGCATCGACATGAACGACCACCGGGGCCAAGGTACTGAGTGACAAACACATCAGAATAGATTCATGGGAACAGTCATATGTTTGTGACTGATCAACAAGACAATCATTTTCTTTGAACGTTCTAAATCATGGCAGTTAGACTTTCACTCGACGACTTAAGGATGAATTAAAGGCGAAAACTTGGATAAAGTTACATAAATGTGTAGCTTAGGAAGCGAACTATCCATTTTGTGAGACATGTTCATGAAAACAACAGTATTTATTTCATGGTTCGTCAAAATCCACCATTTTTGCTGCGTTTCTGGAAAACAAAATGGCGCCCGTCTAAAATGTTTACTTTTGAAATGTTCTTCCACTAACTCCATGCCATTTTCGGTTGCCTGGTAACCTTTTACAACATGCTGGACTGGTTTTGGACTGGTTCTGGCTCTATTACCTCACTAGGCTAGCATTTAGCCTTTTAACAAACTGTTTTTGTTGTATTTCAAGTTATATTAACCAGGTTCAGCACTTATTAAAAGTGAGTAAAGGTTCAAAGTCGTTTAATGACTGACTTTTAATACATTTGTTGAAAAATTAAACATTTTGCAGTTGTTTTAGTTTGAGAATGGTGGTAGTCGTAGTGGTTGTTGGTCCAGTTTTGTGCTTATGGTACAAGTGTGTTCATGAACATGCACCGTCCCAGTCAAACAGACAAACCTCTGTCCTTTGTCCATTTATTTTATGTGGTTAGGGGGACAGTGATTCTGGATGTTTTTCTTTTCTAATGTTTGTTTTGTCTTAGGAGACCACCGCCGCACTCCAACCCACGCTGGAGATGAAGACCACTCGTCTTCCTCACGTAAGTTCCTCTTTTCTGTGTTTCTGCTTTTTATTGTTGCTTATTGGTTATTATTAATACAGTAGGTACCGCATGGCAAGTTGACCTCCTTTGTGCCTTCGAACTATTCAGAGAGGGATGTGCCAATAAAAAAATACCAATATCGTTTTGATTCCAATGCCAAGTACCAATGGTTATTACCAATTAATATGTAACTTTTTATTTATTTCTTTATTTAATATGGACATAACAATAACATTGGACAAGCCAGATGCATTGCTGTAAAGGCCTGTGTACACTCGCGCAGTCACACTAACCAAAGCGGTCCCATTTGTGCTGCTACTTTCTTCTCTTCAGAACAAAAACAATAGTGAAGCTGTTTGAGATCATTACATGTTTCTACTGTAGGTTTATGTGACCGTTCTAAACTCATCGTTTCAACTCTTTTAACTGTGATGTGGTGAATAAATACACAGTTCTTGTTGAACTATTTGGAACTATTTACAAGTACAGGAGGAATGGAACAGACGCGATAAACTACGATTCAAACAAGACAGGAGCAGTGCAAAAGAAAGGACTGCACAGTTTATAAGTTATATATAAGTTAGATATGCAACAGAACTCTAGTCCACAGTCTCCTGTATATCAGGCTCTGAGCCCAAACTACTTTTCCTTCGGTTCCTTCGAAGCTGCTCCTGCAGCCGCTCCATGCTTCTTTCCAATACACACACTAGAGATGTACCGATCCGATATTCTGTATCATAATCATAATTCATCTGAATATGTCAAAATGAACACCCGAAATATTATAAACACATATTGTAGTTATATATTATGAATAGCAGCATATTAAATTCTAGTACTACTTTAACATTCAGTAAAACAAAAAGAAAAGAGCTGGTACATAACTGAATGACCACAAAAAGCCAGTACTTAACCAGTGTGTGAACTCTGTAAATGTAAACTCCCCAATAGTTAACAAATCCGATATTATCCGATCCTTACAAAATACCCATATCGGCCCCCGATACCGATACAGAATATCGGATCGGTACATCTCTAGTGTGTGTATTGGAAAGAAGCATGGAGCGGCTGCAGGAGCAGCTTTGAAGGAACCGAAGGAAAAGTAGTTTGGGCTCAGAGCCTGATATACAGGAGACTGTGGACTAGAGTTCTGTTGCATATCTAACTTATATAGTATATATACTTTAAGGGCAGCTTTTTGATAAATGTTCCTCTTTGATAAATGTTTCTTTTATATCAGGTTTATTTTAAAGGTGAAATATTCAATACTGATGTGATTCTTACCTACTGTATGACTTAACTCAGTAGGTCTGTTAACCAAAAGCCAAACAATATTTTTGATCATGTTATAATTTAAAAAAAACATTTTAAAGTAATACTATTTGGAACATTTTTAATGCCTTGAAAATATTAGAAAAAATTGGATCGGAATCGGTATCGGCAAAACAATATTTAAGAATATTGGAATCGGATCGGATCACAAAAAATCTGGATTGGTACATCCCTAACACACACACGGACCAATCACAGCGGAGCTTGTCTGCGGCGACCCTTAGGCCAGGACTCCACCAGGCGCGTCTCCGTTGACGTGCGTCGGCTGCTGCCCGTCAGACGTCCGTAAAATGGACTAGTGGCCACACTGGCTTCAGCAGCAGCTCTGGCTGTGCGTTTATCAGCCTGCTTTGTTTTTGTAGGAGACATGTTTGGGCATTGTGTGAATAAATGAATGTTTGGCTGATGGAGGAGTCATGTATTGTGGGCGTGTGTGTGTGCGTGCGTGTGTGTGTGTGTGTGTGGGAGGCGTGTGCGTGCATGTGTGTTTGGGCGCGGTACACGAGATTATGAATGGGAATACACCTGCGGGGGCACGGGGAAAGAGGAGAGACGTCTGTTTGGGAGGCCATCATTTTTCTTGACCGCTATTACAGTTTTGTTTGATATATTTTTGCAATTTTTCTGGCTTAAGTTTAATCACTAATATTTTCTGTATTCACCACGCATTTTGGCCTGTGACCCCAGCGTTTATTATGATCCATCCTCTTCGTTTGTTTTCTATACTTATTTAGCGCGTCATACACTTTTATCGGACCCCACTCGCGGCTGCCTGTTGCTTTAGGCAACAGGCAGCCGCTATAGTTTTAAATAGAAGAAGCAGTGTGTGATGTGTATGAGCTGTGGATATGATCAGTGCAAAGCACGGCATATTGAAGCATCGAGGACGTCGCGATGGATGAGGCAAAACTTATTGAAAGCAATTGGAAAAAGGGGTGAGAGAAAAGAACTCTAACATATCCAGTGTTGTGAGATGTGTCTCTCATAAGTGCAGTAGCTCTGTGTGTAATGTGTGTGTGCGGTGAGGAGAGAGCGCCTCGCAGGTAGACGGGACAGAGCGAGGTGTATGTAAAGTTTAGCGTATTACTATTAACATTACGCGAAAAAGAAATGGTAGATGTACGATCAGGAAACAATTATTTACATTAATACATGAAAAAAATTACACACGTTTGTTAATAATCATTGTCATTAACAAACGCTTATAACCAAGGACCACAGCATATATCAATACATGTTTAATAATGTGGTAAATATATTATTCCATTGTATTTTCAATGGAAAACGGACTCAACACGCGTCAACGGAACAAATAGCATTGTTTCTATTTCGTCCGTCCGCGTCCGTTGCACCCTCCGTTGACGGAATGCGTCCGACCGGATGTTGGAGGCAGTGGAGCCACTTCCATTCACCGCGCGACTATACACTAGGCTTAAGTGTTAAGCACATGTGCTAGTTTTCAACACTAGTCCACAGGGGCTTTTACAGATAAAATACATTTCAACCAATTACAATAACATGTGGACATGAGAACAACTCTGTATCTTAACACATGTTTGAGCTCTCTGCTGAAGATGGTCATGTTAGTCTGTAGTTTTAGTCCCTGTATTTCTTTAACACTGATACATTTGATAGTAACAGTATCTGTGGTGCACCGTGAAATAGAAAATGCCACCTGCACGTTGGGCTTCTTATGGAAACTTTTCTCTCTAAAATTGAATCTGCCAGGGTTTGTCTTGGTCCTGTCTGCAGTCACCTAATTGTGTGCATATGCATGGCAGCCATTAAGATATTTGTTAAGTTGCTTGTATTGAAACATCCAACCATAATAGTTATTGTGACAGGCCTAGCTCTTGAAGCGCCCATTTTTTTTGTCAAACATTTTGTTCCAATGCAGATGCTGTTTTAATTATATATAACAGTGCTGCCTCGGTTACTACAGCCGTATACCACACGAAAAAACTGCCTTGTAAGTACAAAAGTCAGCAACGTAAAGACTGTCAGCAGTGTCTGCGGCTGCAGATGCTACGCAGGCTAATGCTAATGCATTTCTTCCATTCCTTGTTAGGCATTTTCCTAAAAATCAACACTCGTTGTCGTTAGAGAAATACATGTTAACAAAGTAGATACTCCATAAGTTCCCCACTTGATGGGAGCAGTTTCCATAACTGTACACCCCATAGAAAAAGAGCATGTTGACTCGGAATCAGTGACTTTTTACATAGTTCTTAATGGGGAGATTTACTTCTTGTCCCTCGGAGCACTTTCGCGTCGCTGCATGACGTCAGGTGCAACCCAGCAATTAAGATTTCAATGTTTTAAAAAATGCATGAATGATGCTAAAAAGGACGTATATTTGACTTGACTTTTTTTCTTTTCTAGGTCACCGTGAAGCCCCCCGGGCTTTTGAAGATCGAGTTCACTTCCCTCCGCAGGGTTTTTATCCTCCGCAGGTGGTTCTCCCTCCGCAGGGTTTCTATCCTCCGCAGGTGGTTCTCCCTCCGCAGGGTTTTTATCCTCCGCAGGTGGTTCTCCCTCCGCAGGGTTTTTATCCTCCGCAGGTGGTTCTCCCTCCGCAGGGTTTTTATCCTCCGCAGGTGGTTCTCCCTCCGCAGGGTTTCCATTGGCAGGTGGTCTTTCTACCTCAGGATTTCTACCTCCCACAGGTGGACGTCTATCCTCCGCCGGTGGACGTCTTTCCTCCGCAGGTGGACGTCTATCCTCCGCCGGTGGACGTCTTTCCTCCGCAGGTGGACGTCTATCCTCCGCCGGTGGACGTCTTTCCTCCGCAGGTGGACGTCTATCCTCCGCAGGTGGACGTGGACGTCTTTCTTCCGCAGGTGGACGTCTTTCCTCCGCAGGTGGACGTCTTTCCTCCGCAGGTGGACGTGGACGTCTATCCTCCGCCGGTGGACGTCTTTCCTCCGCAGGTGGACGTCTTTCCTCCGCAGGTGGACGTCTTTCCTCCGCAGGTGGACGTCTTTCCTCCGCAGGTGGACCTGCCTCCGCAGGTGGACGTCTTTCCTCCGCAGGAGGACCTTGTGGATGTCCACTCTCCCTCTTCTCTATCTTCTTCCCCTCCAGATTCTCCCTGCTTTCTTTGTCCTGCCCCAGCACCTTCCTCTCCTGATGTGGATCCCTCGTCTCCCTCTGCTTCTTGCTCTTCTGTTTTTTCTTCCACAGATTTCCAGAGCCCTGAAGAGTTCCTGGACTTCTTTGTCCAGACTCTGGATTCAGCTCCTGCCTCCCCCACTACTTCTCCTCAGGTTCGTCCTAGCGATGGTGCAGCTGCCCCTTCCCCACCTGTTTCTGCACCTCCCCTTCTCCTCGTCTCTCCTCCCCCTCACGCCCTTTCTCTCCCACTTCTTCCTCTGCCCCTTTCTTGTCTTTTTCTTCCCCAGATTTCCAGAGCCTTGAAGAGTTCCTGGACTTTTCTCTGCAGACTCTGGATCCAGCTCCTGCCTCCCCCACTAATGCTCCTCTTCTTTTCCCTCCCATCTTTGGTGCAGCCGTCCCCTCTCCTCCTGGCACTGCTCCTCCATCTCCCCTCCTTGCTTCCCCCTCACGCTCTTTCTCTCCCTCTCCAGATGCGGAGGCGTTTGTTTTAGGTCCAGAGCTTCCTAATCTCCCTTCAGTTCCTGTACCAGGTTTCTCTGATCCAGGTGACTCAGTTCCTAACACTGCTTCTCCCTCTTGTTCCCGTAAATGTAGCAGGGACGAGTGCACTGCTGAGACCAGCTCCAAGAGGCGGCGCTGCTCCTCTCCTGCCTCTTCTCCTCTGGTCTCCCCTGCTCCCTCTTCTTCCTCCCACTCTCCTTCCTCATAACCTTCCCTGCCCCTCTCCTTCCTTCCGCCTCTCCTCCCTCCCCTTCTCGTTTCTGCCATCCCCCTGTTTCTTTCCTCCTAACTCCATCTCTGCCCTCTGAATTCCCTGATACTTTTTCCACAGTTTGGGTCCTCTGGAACCGGATCTGAAAAGGAAGATTCCTTTTCAGATCGGGTTCCAGAGGACCCAAATGTTTGCCCTTCCTCCTTGCTTCCCCCTACCTCCTCCTTCTCCTTCCTCCTCCTTCCCCCCTCAGGAATCTCAATGGCAAGAGTAGGACAAACATCAGTGTCCGGAGCGTTAACGGCACAACAGGAGCCTGCCTGAGCCACAATGTCTGCTACTGACATTTTCAGTGGCAGATGTTGTCTTTAGTGGCCTTTTCAGTGGCAGCTAGAAGATTAGTGGCATTTTTGTTGGAATCTAGTATTTAAGTGGCTTTCATCAGAGACGAGATCCTTTGTAAATTCAGCAGAGGGCATTTTCACCTGCTTGGTTTTCTGCATCAAGATCAACAATCAGGGAACCACCACCTGCCCAATGCCACTAAACTTCTAGCTGCCATTGAAAACACCACTACACTTCTAGTTGCCAAATTTTGGCAGCCTCTGATCAGCCATTGCAGCTGCCATGGCTGATCAGAGGCAGACCCAGGTGAACCCAGGAGGACAGACATCAGTGTCCAGAGCAGACCCAGGTGAACCCAGGAGGACAGACATCAGTGTCCAGAGCAGACCCAGGTGAACCCAACAGGACAGACATCAGTGTCCAGAGCAGACCCAGGTGAACCCAGGAGGACAGACATCAGTGACCAGAGCAGACCCAGGTGAACCCAGGAGGACAGACATCAGTGTCCAGAGCAGACCCAGGTGAACCCAACAGGACAGACATCAGTGTCCAGAGCAGACCCAGGTGAACCCAGGAGGACAGACATCAGTGACCAGAGCAGACCCAGGTGAACCCAGGAGGACAGACATCAGTGACCAGAGCAGACCCAGGTGAACCCAGGAGGACAGACATCAGTGTCCAGAGCAGACCCAGGTGAACCCAGGAGGACAGACATCAGTGACCAGAGCAGACCCAGGTAAACCCTGGAGGACAGACATCACATGTTCTTTAATAATCTGTTCTCTCTGTACTAACGTGTATTTGTGCAGATGCAGAGAGGTGCCTGCAGAAGCACTTGTCTTCATTGAGTGCAGAGCAATAGTTGCTGGATCTGAAAGCTCTGAGCTCACAGGACATCCAGGACAAGGGGGACATCACACAGGACCTGATCCAAGACCCGGACCAGGAGCAGAACTGCAGGTAAGGGTGGTCTATGTATATATATTTATACATATGTATATAGAGTGGGGCAAAATCATATTTGTCAGAGTCTTTATATCAAGCTAAAATGAACAGATTCATTTGTATAATGGTGCAGAATATAAGTGCTCTGTTCCCATCATGTCTATTTCCTGGTCTCTGAGTCTCCCTCTTGTGTCTTTCAGACTTGGTGTTTTTTCTGGTGGGATCTCTGAACACCTGACTCCTACAATCAAGCTCTCCAGGTCTCACTGCCAGATTGTTTTCTGGAGTCTTGCCACGTCCCCACCTGCTTCGAATCCTCAGTCATTGTTCCCTGTCCCCAAGAAGACCCGGATCACTGGACTTAATGACTACAGACCCGTGGCTCTGACATCTGTAGTTATGAAGTCATTTGAGCGCCTGGTCCTCCCCCACCTCAAGTGCTCCCCCATCTCAAGTCCTTCACCTCCCCCCTCCTGGACCCCAGTTCGCCTACAGAGCCAACAGATCTGTAGACGACGCCATTAACCTGGCCCTCCACCACATCCTACAGCACCTGGACTTCCCGGGGACCTACGCCAGGATCCTGTTCGTGGACTTCAGCTCTGCCTTCAACACCATCCTGCCATCCCTGCTCCAGGACAAGCTCTCCCAGCTCAACGTGTCCGATGTGTTCTTTCTCCCCTGCTCTTCTCCCTCTACACCAACCACTGCACCTCCTTGAAGCTCATCAAGTTTGTGGACAACACCACACTCATTGGACTCAGCTCCAACAACGATAAGTCAGCTTACAGGAGGGAGGTGGACCAGCTGGTGTCCTACAGGAGGGAGGTGGACCAGCTGGTGTCCTACAGGAGGGAGGTGGACCAGCTGGTGTCCTACAGGAGGGAGGTGGACCAGCTGGTGTTCTGGTGTCTCCTACAGGAGGAGGTGTCCTGGTGCAGTGGTAACAACCTGGAGCTGAACGCCCAGAAGACAGTGGAGATGATTGTGGACTTCAGGAAGAGCACTGTCCCCCCGCCCCCACCCTCCGTGATGGACTCCCCCATCACCTCTGTGGAGTCCTTCCGTTTCCTGGGCACCACCATCACCCAGGACCTCAAGTGGGAGCCGACCATCAGCTCCCTCATCAAGAAGGCCCAGCAGAGGATGCACTTCCTGCTGCAGCTCAGGAAAGCCAAGCTGCAGTTCTACACGGCCATCATCGAGTCCATCCTCACCTCCTCCATCACCTCCTTCAATCGCCTCCATCACCTCCTCCATCACCTCCTTCAATCGCCTCCATCACCTCCTCCATCACCTCCTTCAATCGCCTCCATCACCTCCTCTATCACCTCTTCTATCACCTCCTCCATCACCTCCTTCAATCACCTCCTCTATCACCTCCTCCATCACCTCTTTCAATCGCCTCCATCACCTCCTCCATCACCTCCTCCGTCACATGCAGAGACTACAGCGCATTGTGCGCTCTGCAGAGAAGGTGATTGGCCACAGCCTCCCATCGCTGTAGGACCTCTACGACGCCCGAGCTTGAGGCCGAGCTAGTCGTATCGTTGCTGACCCCTTTCACCCTGCACATGGACTATTCCAACCTCACCCTCTCACCTGCACATGGACTGTTCCAACCTCTCCCCTCTCATCAGCACATGGACTGTTCCAACCTCTCCCCTCTCACCTGCACATGGACTGTTCCAACGACTCCCCTCTCATCAGCACATGGACTGTTCCAACCTCTCCCCTCTCACCTGCACATGGACTGTTCCAACCACTCCCCTCTCATCAGCACATGGGCTGTTCCAACCTCTCCCCTCTCATCAGCACATGTACTTACTGTTCCAACCTCTCCCCTCTCATCAGCACATGGACTGTTCCAACCACTCCCCTCTCATCAGCACATGGACTGTTCCAACCTCTCCCCTCTCACCTGCACATGGACTGTTCCAACCACTCCCCTCTCATCAGCACATGGACTGTTCCAACCTCTCCCCTCTCACCTGCACATGGACTGTTCCAACCACTCCCCTCTCATCAGCACATGGACTGTTCCAACCTCTCCCCTCTCATCAGCACATGGACTGTTCCAACCTCTCCCCTCTCATCAGCACATGGACTGTTCCAACCTCTCCCCTCTCATCAGCACATGGACTGTTCCAACCACTCCCCTCTCATCAGCACATGGACTGTTCCAACCTCTCCCCTCTCATCAGCACATGGACTGTTCCAACCTCTCCCCTCTCATCAGCACATGGACTGTTCCAACCTCTCCCCTCTCACCTGCACATGGAATGTTCCAACCACTCCCCTCTCATCAGCACATGGACTGTTCCAACCTCTCCCCTCTCATCAGCACATGGACTGTTCCAACCTCTCCCCTCTCATCAGCACATGGACTGTTCCAACCACTCCCCTCAGGCAGGAGGCTGTGGTCTTACTTACTGCCTTTTACAAAGGCACCTTACTGCCCTTATTAAAGGCACTTTACTGTCCTTTACAAAGGCACATTACTGCCCATAATAAAGGCACTTTACTGCCCTTTACAAAGGCACTTTACTGCCCTTTACAAAGTCACTAATTGCCCTTTACAAAGGCACTTTACTGCCCTTTACAAAGTCACTTACTGCCCTTTACAAGGGCACTTTACTGCCCTTTACAAAGTCACTTACTGCCCTTTACAAAGTCACTTACTGCCCTTTACAAAGTCACTTATTGCCCTTTACAAAGGCACTTTACTGCCCTTTACAAAGTCACTTACTGCCCTTTACAAAGTCACTTATTGCCCTTTACAAAGGCACTTTACTGCCCTTTACAAAGTCACTTATTGCCCTTTACAAAGTCACTTACTGCACTGCTGTACATTGTATATTGTGTGCACCGAGCCCGAGTGCACTTGTTTATAGTAATAATCATAATACTTTTAACTAAAATCTTAGAAAGAGCTTTACTTTAGAGATGTTTAGAAATGTTTTATTTTGTCTTATTCTCGACTTTTGACCTGATTGCACTGAGAGCCAAAGCCATTTTCCAGTCTGTGACTTCCTGTTTCTTACGTATCAATAAAAATGGTTGTGATTCTGATCGTTACGTCTCTTCAGTCTCTTCAGTGGCACAGACTTATCTTTAGCATGAATCTAGTGAAACCTCAAACTTTAGCTTGTCTTAACATTCTGTTCATTCTTATTCATTCAAATGGTGTTTTTTCCCAAACCAGCTGCTCCAGAGACCCACCAGCCAATCCAATCCAAGCACTCCATAAATGTTTTCCCTTTGTTCTAACCTGCAGTGTTTTCTTTGGGTCCTATTACCAATCTTTATTTCAGACTCAAATTCAATGGCTCCATATTCTGAAGGAAAACAAGCAGAAAATACAATATATAGAGTCAGTCCAAACAGGTCTATAGGTGATGGAAGAGTGTTTCAGCCGCTTTCTCAGAGCAGAGCTGCAGTCAACTTTTGACTTAGATTTATTTTTTAGTTTTATTACATGCAGGAAATGGTGATAATGTGATTCCAATGATATCAGGGTTTATATAATTATGTGTGTGGAGTCATCACGGTATTGTTGAGGAATCTTTACAAAAAGACTAAATGCTCTGAATGGACAGCCCTTTGCTTTTTTATTGAAATATATTCTTAAGAAAACACAAAATGAGTAGACATAAAACAGAAACATGTGATATGCAAGGAGACATTCAGGTGAGAAGCAGCAAAAATCAAAGTATGACACTGCTCTGAGCATGGGTGTATCATATTATCTTGCATCATCTAGAATAAAAAGAATAACAAGCACTTTGAGTGAAAGTAGAAAAGTATACTGCATGAATGTATTAATAAAAAGAGAAATTAATTTGGAATATATAGAACACAGTGATTGTAGATTTACTTTTGCAAAATAACAAATAATAGAAAAAAAAAAGTAACTTAATGTCTCTTACCTGAATGTGACAGGGATAGTCATGAAAAATGTTCAAAAAAGTAGCCGTGGCAAATAATGAAACCCTTTAAATACATCTGTGAAAGCATCAATGAGTGAACAATCAAAGACTCAACCAAGAAGCAAGAAGTGCTGGACCTTCTGACCAATGGACACGCCCACTTCTCTGACCACTGGATATTACTTACAGAGACATGCTCCATGGTTAGTCACTAAAAAACTTTTGGAAGAGGAAATGTTGAGTTAAGTGGTTTGCTTTTATTCATAGTTTGAGTCGAGACACACCATGAAGTACATGTCTGCGTGCTGCTGAAGCCGCTGTGAGCCTCTGCACTCCGGGCTAATGTGGCCTGGGCCGTCCCAGCTCCAGAGGTGACGTCACTGCGCACAGAGCGACGTCACGTATGAATACTGTACTGTACTGTGCTGTATTGTACTGTACTGGACTGTACCCCCCCCCCCCCCCCCCCCCCCCCCCCCCCCCCCCCCCCCCCCCCCCCCCCCCCCCCCCCCCCCCCCCCCCCCCCCCCCCCCCCCCCCCCCCCCCCCCCCCCCCCCCCCCCCCCCCCCCCCCCCCCCCCCCCCCCCCCCCCCCCCCCCCCCCCCCCCCCCCCCCCCCCCCCCCCCCCCCCCCCCCCCCCCCCCCCCCCCCCCCCCCCCCCCCCCCCCCCCCCCCCCCCCCCCCCCCCCCCCCCCCCCCCCCCCCCCCCCCCCCCCCCCCCCCCCCCCCCCCCCCCCCCCCCCCCCCCCCCCTACCCCCCCCCCCCCCCCCCCCCCCCCCCCCCCCCCCCCCCCCCCCCCCCCCCCCCCCCCCCCCCCCCCCCCCCCCCCCCCCCCCCCCCCCCCCCCCCCCCCCCCCCCCCCCCCCCCCCCCCCCCCCCCCCCCCCCCCCCCCCCCCCCCCCCCCCCCCCCCCCCCCCCCCCCCCCCCCCCCCCCCCCCCCCCCCCCCCCCCCCCCCCCCCCCCCCCCCCCCCCCCCCCCCCCCCCCCCCCCCCCCCCCCCCCCCCCCCCCCCCCCCCCCCCCCCCCCCCCCCCCCCCCCCCCCCCCCCCCCCCCCCCCCCCCCCCCCCCCCCCCCCCCCCCCCCCCCCCCCCCCCCCCCCCCCCCCCCCCCCCCCCCCACCCCCCCCCCCCCCCCCCCCCCCCCCCCCCCCCCCCCCCCCCCCCCCCCCCCCCCCCCCCCCCCCCCCCCCCCCCCCCCCCCCCCCCCCCCCCCCCCCCCCCCCCCCCCCCCCCCCCCCCCCCCCCCCCCCCCCCCCCCCCCCCCCCCCCCCCCCCCCCCCCCCCCCCCCCCCCCCCCCCCCCCCCCCCCCCCCCCCCCCCCCCCCCCCCCCCCCCCCCCCCCCCCCCCCCCCCCCTCCCCCCCCCCCCCCCCCCCCCCCCCCCCCCCCCCCCCCCCCCCCCCCCCCCCCCCCCCCCCCCCCCCCCCCCCCCCCCCCCCCCCCCCCCCCCCCCCCCCCCCCCCCCCCCCCCCCCCCCCCCCCCCCCCCCCCCCCCCCCCCCCCCCCCCCCCCCCCCCCCCCCCCCCCCCCCCCCCCCCCCCCCCCCCCCCCCCCCCCCCCCCCCCCCCCCCCCCCCCCCCCCCCCCCCCCCCCCCCCCCCCCCCCCCCCCCCCCCCCCCCCCCCCCCCCCCCCCCCCCCCCCCCCCCCCCCCCCCCCCCCCCCCCCCCCCCCCCCCCCCCCCCCCCCCCCCCCCCCCCCCCCCCCCCCCCCCCCCCCCCCCCCCCCCCCCCCCCCCCCCCCCCCCCCCCCCCCCCCCCCCCCCCCCCTCCCCCCCCCCCCCCCCCCCCCCCCCCCCCCCCCCCCCCCCCCCCCCCCCCCCCCCCCCCCCCCCCCCCCCCCCCCCCCCCCCCCCCCCCCCCCCCCCCCCCCCCCCCCCCCCCCCCCCCCCCCCCCCCCCCCCCCCCCCCCCCCCCCCCCCCCCCCCCCCCCCCCCCCCCCCCCCCCCCCCCCCCCCCCCCCCCCCCCCCCCCCCCCCCCCCCCCCCCCCCCCCCCCCCCCCCCCCCCCCCCCCCCCCCCCCCCCCCCCCCCCCCCCCCCCCCCCCCCCCCCCCCCCCCCCCCCCCCCCCCCCCCCCCCCCCCCCCCCCCCCCCCCCCCCCCCCCCCCCCCCCCCCCCCCCCCCCCCCCCCCCCCCCCCCCCCCCCCCCCCCCCCCCCCCCCCCCCCCCCCCCCCCCCCCCCCCCCCCCCCCCCCCCCCCCCCCCCCCCCCCCCCCCCCCCCCCCCCCCCCCCCCCCCCCCCCCCCCCCCCCCCCCCCCCCCCCCCCCCCCCCCCCCCCCCCCCCCCCCCCCCCCCCCCCCCCCCCCCCCCCCCCCCCCCCCCCCCCCCCCCCCCCCCCCCCCCCCCCCCCCCCCCCCCCCCCCCCCCCCCCCCCCCCCCCCCCCCCCCCCCCCCCCCCCCCCCCCCCCCCCCCCCCCCCCCCCCCCCCCCCCCCCCCCCCCCCCCCCCCCCCCCCCCCCCCCCCCCCCCCCCCCCCCCCCCCCCCCCCCCCCCCCCCCCCCCCCCCCCCCCCCCCCCCCCCCCCCCCCCCCCCCCCCCCCCCCCCCCCCCCCCCCCCCCCCCCCCCCCCCCCCCCCCCCCCCCCCCCCCCCCCCCCCCCCCCCCCCCCCCCCCCCCCCCCCCCCCACCCCCCCCCCCCCCCCCCCCCCCCCCCCCCCCCCCCCCCCCCCCCCCCCCCCCCCCCCCCCCCCCCCCCCCCCCCCCCCCCCCCCCCCCCCCCCCCCCCCCCCCCCCCCCCCACCCCCCCCCCCCCCCCCCCCCCCCCCCCCCCCCCCCCCCCCCCCCCCCCCCCCCCCCCCCCCCCCCCCCCC